TAAAACAAGTGATCATCTGAAGGCTACTGACGTAAATAACACGCCGTATGTGAGTGTATTATTTTAAATCTGCAATCATTTACCGCTTAATACTTACAATTAAACTGGTTATACTGCAGACCTGCCATGCACCGAAACTATGTCTCTCTATATTTCTGAGATGAGGTATTATGTACGCTATTTACATTATTCAGACTATTGTCCTCATCTTTGTCGCCATATTTATTACAGCGTTTCGGCCGTTGTACGCTCCGGTATTCTTCAGGTGGTTGGAATGTCGAACTGAACCCTTTATTTCACTGACTAAAGACACATGGCACGGTGGATAAAGGCGTTAGTTAGATCCATTGACAGGACCCAAAAGATTGTGAGTTCAATACCCGGTTAAGCCAGTAGAGAACTTGGAAAGGGGAATTAACAGGAGATAATTGATAACTAACACCCATTAAACATGGCAGGTGGAACTAGAACAGTCTACCCCAGTGAGCGAAATAAAGGATTCAATTCGACATTCCAACCACCTGAAGAAGGCCGGAGCGTATAACGGCCGAAACGCTGTAATAAAGATGAGGATAATTGTCCGAATAATATAAATAGTGTATGAAATTATGTCATTTTCTTTTTCAGTGGGTTTTTGAAATGAGCCACACTGATCACACTGCAGAGTCTAGATTCAGTCATTTCGCTCGACTTCTGTCACTAAAGGAAAGAACACTTTACGTCTACCATTGGTGGAAACATTCAGCACTATCTTAGTCACAGTACTAATATGCAGTAATAGAACTATTACTTACTTAGAATCAGAAAAAAAGCAGTTAAATTTTCTAAAGCGCATAAGGATAGAGGACTTCGAGAATTTAACACTCACAGGGTAAAAGAAATAGTAGAAAGCAGTGAATATCCGACTCAACGGGGGCTCGTTTAAATGGTTGGCAGAAAAGGGATTAATAGAGATAGCTATAAGACAAACCATACTAAGATCTATAAATGATTGAATGTTGTGGAGAGCCATGATCTCCCATATCCTGAAAGGACACAGCACATAGAAAAAATATTAAAAGACAAGCAGCAGGTATTTATTACATTGCCAGCAGTCGGTGTTCGAGTTTAGGCGATTGGAAAGTGAATATTGCATTTTATGCAGTTTGTACTACAAACACCTAAGTCTGATTCAGTTTATCGTATATCTGTCGGACTCAGCTAAAAGCTTACACGTGTTAAGCTATCGATTGTTATCAAAATCATATTACGTAAATCTGAACATCGCTTATATTCGTAGACACGAACAGCATCATGAGAAACAAATTATCCGGAGTAAGTCCTTAGGCAAAACAGAACTCGTCAGTTTCTTTTATATATATATATATATATATATATGTGTGTGTGTGTGTGTGTGTGTGTGTTTGTGTGTGTGGATTGTAGTACTCAAATTTAAAAAAAAATATTTTAAAATTTTCTATGCGTAAAATAGAATAAAATAAAAATTCTGACGCATTTTTAAAAACGACCAAGATAAATGAATAGAGGAAAATAACGAAAAAGAGAGAAAGAAAATGAGGCGTGTCTAAAAATAGATTAGTTCTTCGAATTTCCACATTTGTTTCATTTTTGTTGTTCATCTGAAAATTCTTTCGACCAAGAAACTTTTTACGTAAATTAGAAAATAAAAAAAAAAAAAAAAAAAAGCCAAACAAATCAAAAAACGACTGCCTGGGGCAACCAATTCCCACCAAACAATGTACGCTTTTATAGATTTTCTCTTGTACTTTGGTTTGTGGAATTGTCATATATTTTGGATTGTTATGTATAAGTGTGTGTGTGTGTGTGTGTCTCTATAAATGCATTGTCGGTGAATTTTGTTTGTAGTTTTGTTCTGTTTCAATTCTATTTCTTTTCGGCTTTTATACTTTTGCGCTGCAAATGTTAAAATTTGTTTGTAAATGAGAATCGGGATTTCTTTTTGCTGTCTTCTTTAATAGATCGATGGAGTTACTTTTTAACTTTGGATTTTGAATCTTTCTTTTTAGTATTTTTTCTTTCTTTCTTTTGATCAGCTTTTTTTTGTTATCTTTACCGTTATTTTTCTTTTTCAATAATCAATGATGTGGTCACTCTTATTATTATTATTATTATTATTAGTAGTAGTAGTATTATTATTATTAAACACAAATTCTTTTTTTGTGGTCCATTAAGTTTCTGGTAACCCTAAAGCCTTTTGTAGTAATTCAAAATGTTTTATTCAGATAATTTTTTATATTGCAAAAGAGTTCAAAACAATTCGTTTAGTCGCAGAGATTTACGAAATAATTATTCAACCTTATAATCAACAATTTGTCAGATCTGACAGAATTATGAATTATTATTTGACCACATACTCCCCTTTTAATATTATTATTATTATTATTATTATTATTATTATTATTATTATTATTATTATTATTTCCTTTGAATCTGGAGTTTACACATTTCTTTCCGGGTCCTGCCCAGGGACCTAAGGTTAGAAATGGCATCATGACACTTTCCACTAACAAAAAAAATTACATAGACAAAGCCATTCGTAAAGTGTGGGCTGTACAATTTTTTGTATCTCTTTGAGGCATGGACTTCCAGGAATCCCTTCAATTAGTCTACTGGAGTCTTTTCCAAACAATCCTAGGGCCCCAACTACAACAGGGATTGTTGATGTTCCTATGTGCCACATTTTTGATATTTCTATTTCAAGGTCCTTGTATTTTGACAGATTTTTGAATATATTCAAAGATACATTGCAGTCTGCAGGGACTGCCATATCAATAAACAGGCACTTTTTTTGTTTGTGGTCTTTAATAACAATATCTGGGCGGTTGGTTTGATTGTTCTGTCAGTGTGTATAGTTTCGTCCCATAGAATTGTAACAGGTCCTATCTCCGTAAGCGGGTCTGGGTGGTGTTCATACCAGCTATTATTATTATTATTATTATTATTATTATTATTAATATATAATTCTACTTTTTCCTTCATTGCTTAGATCGTTAGATAATTTGCATTGTATATTATGTTCTGCCATTACATCAGATAAATAGAATTTCCTTTTTGTTTCCGAAGAAGGAAAAAAATATATATATATATATATATAAGATACACTGATTGGTTTTATTTAAATAAATAAAGTGAACGTAGAGGAGGCGATAATGCTCATACAAGTTTAACTTTTGCTTCAGTGAAATGAAAAACCTTGATTTGTCATTTTTTTCATTTGTTCTCTCTTACCTGTTTAAACAATGACCTCTGCCTTCATACTCTTGATTGTTTATGCAATAACAATGCAACAGGGTAATTTCTATAAATACGATATGGCAATGGAAATTGTAAGAAACTTATCCAATAATTAACTTAAGAATTAAAACCCATCAGAAAATTTAAAATACATGGTGTCCATAAAGTTCGTGTGCAATTTAAAAAGTTATAACTTTATTTGTATTTGCGATAGAAATAATTTGTAAAAAGGATTAGAAAGACGTAAATCTATATTTTGTAAGGTTTTATTGAAATTTTATTTAAGTTTCCACATGTCCTCCATCATTAGCATCACAAAGGGTAATACGATTTTGTAATTGACGGAAAACATTTTCCAATTGATTTACAGTAATGCCTGAAATCACATTAGTTATTTTAGCCATATTTAAAACTAGGTACATTAAACTTTGTAACGTTTTTCACAGATTATTTCTATCGCAAATACAAATAAAGTTATAAATGTTTTAAAGTGCACACGAACTTTATGGACACCATTTATAAGAAAAACATGAAAGTAGTAATTATTATCATTGTTATTGTTGTGGTTGTTCGTTTTCTGATTGTTCATAACATAATTATTTGGTGCTTTATGCCGGAGATTAAGCAACAAAAAGACTCACGAATAGCCAGCGACTTTTGTTAACATTATTGTAATTATTATTATTCATGAAGGGATTGATCATTTACTGTGGATATTAAGTGACAAGTCGACTGAAAATCCAGCGCTTTTCTATTGCTGTTTCAACCGCGCTATTTGCTGCATCTTCCCAGCCCTTCTTTTGTTTACAAGTTTCAACAAAAACTTTTCGAAAATTTTTCAGTAATGTTCCTATCGTCTGAATAAATAACGGCACTAAGAATCTACCGACCTTGCAACTCTTGAAAAGCATGAGGATAGTTACGTATGCAAACTTTTATTCGTTTGACACGTTGATTACCACTACAACCGTTTTCTCATGACAAGCGACGTTTCTACAAACACTTATAATTTTTTGTAGATTTTTAATATTTTTAAACTTGTATAAAATTTGTAATCACATCTTGAAGAAGATAGACCTACTGTCGAAATATTTTTGAACATTGCTAAACACTGTATGTCATTTCTTTTTCTTCTTTTCTTTAATGTTGAAAAATATTAGAAATATTTTTTTTTGTTTAATAATAATAGAGATAATAATTATTAAGAAGATTTAAGGAAAGAAAAAACAGTGTTTAACATTATTTCGAAAGTATATCCATCTTTTTTAAGTTATGTTTAAAATTGTGCACAAATATGTGAAGAAGACAGATATACTGTCGAAATAATTGTCAATGAGCCATGTCCTTTCATGATGCTGACGATCATGGCTCTCCACAAATTCCTGTTCTTTGTACTCTTAATAAATTTTGTCTTTGTGCTATTTTTTAAAAACCTGTTCTACTATCAATTTACACAAGATCGTTAGGTAGGTTAAACTTAAAATGGTTTTCAATTGAGATTATCATTGGTTGAAATGGAAACGAGGCTGACTAAAGGATGATGGAATGTAAAATGAAGTTGTTACAATCGTTTAACTTCTGCTTAAAGTTAAAGAAATGTATTTAAAAACCAAAGAAGGAATTGTTAAGAAGGAACAGTAATTCCACGGATGATTTTAGCTAAGATTTCTTCATTAAACTAACATATATATATTGCCAGTTATTCTATACAGATCAAATATGAATATAGATACATAAAATTAATGTTAGGAGATAAAGAAAAGAAGAAGCAAAAGGAAAGAAAGAAAGAGCGGAATATATGAAGAAAGAAAGAAAGAAAGAAAGAAAGAAAGAAAGAAAGAAGGAAAGAAAGAAAGAAAAGGAAAAAAGTGGAACATATGAAGAGGAAAAGAAAAAAGGAAGGGAGAAAGAAAAAGGAGAAAAAGGAAAAAGAAATCAAGTAAGCAAGAAAAAACAGACAGACAGAAAGAAAAAAAGACACAAAGAAAGAAGAAACAACAAATGGTGGAAAATATGAAGAAAGAAAGAAAAAGAAAGAAAGAAAGAAAGAAAGAAAGAAAAAAAACAATGGGTGGACAATATGAAAATGGATGAAAGAAAAAAGATAAAGATAGAAAAAGAGGAAGAAAGATGGAAAAGTGAGAAAGAAAAAGAAAAAGAGAGACAGACAGAAGGAAAGAAAGAAATAAAGACAGAAAAAAGAACATGGGAAAAATGAATGAAAGAAAGAAAAAGAGAAAGAAAAAAGGGAAAGAAAAAAGAGAAAGAAAGAAAGATGGAAAAAGTGTGTATGGAGAAAATAAGAAAGAAAGAAAGAAAGAAAGAAAGGGTGGACAACATGAAAATGGATGAAAGAAAAAAGAAAAAATAAAGGTAGAAAAAGAGGAAGAAAGAAAGATGGAAAAATGAGAAAAGAAAAAAGAAAAATACAGACAGACAGAAGGAAGGAAGGAAAGAAAGAAAGAAAGAAAGAAAGACAGAAAGGAAGAAAGAAAGAAAAAAGATAGAAAAAAGAAAATGCGAAAAATGAATGAAAGAAAGAAAAAGAGAAAGAGAAAAAAAAGAAAGAAAAATGGAAAAAGTGTATGGAGAAAATAAGAAATAGAATAGCAAAGATGCCCGAAATTCCGTGGTGTTGGTTGATCAACGGCCATCGAGTTTAACACCTTTTCACATCGCCATTACAATTATAATCGCACATGCAAAATAAAGTACAACAAAAAACATAGTGAATTCAGAATGAAAGAAACAAATTTCAGTAGAATATTTTTCACTTCCTTCAGTTGCATGTTTTGTGCGTGTAGTGCTGTGAGTTCCGAGGGGAAATACATCGCTGCGATTTTAAAAGTGTTTATTTTATTAAAGAAATAATTGATTTAAAAAATGCTTACAATGTTGGAAACTTGAGTTAAAAGAACAAAAACAAGAAATCACTTAGTGTCGATTTTCGACTTTTCCTCTACTGAGTTTTATAAAATTACAATTCTGAGAGACACTTGCGTTTTTTATTTTTTCGGCCCAACGGTAGGAGCAGGGCTAGAGAAGAGCTAAAGTCTTGCAAAAAGATCTGTCGTGTCAGAAAAATAGCAAACAAGACTCTTGAGAGAATAAAATCTGATGACAAAGAAAGCTTAATCGATTTTTACGAAAAGGTGTTAATCAGTAATTTTGAAAATACACTTCAAGTTTACAGAGTTTGGGGTTAATCTTACTGGTTATAACTGCGGCCAAGAATTCTAGAAATGCAGCATCTATCGTTGCAGAAGACCTCCTCTGATTTGGTTCTAGCAAGTCAATGGGGGAAACAATTAGAATGTAAGTTCTAGTAATTTAAAAACTAAGTTTGTGTCGTTTCATATCATCGTCCAGATCCTGTTTTTTTTCCAGGTAAGGTAAGCGATTACATTCTTTCAACTGCACTTACGTATCAGTTTCACTGCAGACCATCAGTGCGACCCCCTATATACAATCTATTGCCAGAGTCTTTAGGAATTAACTAACTCCTGTCATGATTTAGCCAGATTATACAGAAAATGGCGAACCCCTGCTATGTTTAGGCTGAAGTTGCTGAATCGTTCCCGCCTTGACAGAATTCAAAATCACTTGCCTGGTCTTATCAGGGATTACATATTTCCAACGCCGCAATCGCTTTCCAAGAAGCAAATTTGCAAGCCTATTGCTGTTCTATCCCTGTTTCCATGGCAAATGTTCAGATTGGCATTCCTTTTTTATTTCCACCAATTCAGACCTTTACTCTAAGGTAGGACATACCATTCTACAGTCGAATCATCCTACATTCTCTTGCGTTCCAAATCAACGTACTACCATTTGGTGGAACAGACTCCTGGTTGCTTTCTTGAATACTTCAACCTTGACCTCTTCCAGACAAGGGATAATCATAATCTTTCAATCTTATCATCATAATCTTCATTTCTGTTGTGTACGATACACCTAATTTACATAAGTGGAGTACCGACCATACAAATATGGGTTGGTACCGGGAAGACAAAAGAGGAGTAAGAAGAGATCCAATCGAGAGACTCTGCCCGACTGCTATTTAGTCAACCCATTCTGCAGGAACAGTCTTCCCAAGAATATACCAAACTAACTGTAAATATTGTGTACCTTTTCCTTGTTTCAATACATTTTGTTTACGTACATTTTGTGTTGTATTATTATTATTCCATGCTTATCCAAGCTTCAACAATTTCCTAGCATATTTTCTTTCGTTCATATCATAATACCCATTCAGAATTAAGGTTTAATCTTTAAATCTCTACATGTGAGGCTGTCTAGTCTTGTAAGGGTCAAACTTCAATATGGATAAAATGAGGAATACTACTTAAGTTTTATAACACACACATGAATAGAATGATCACACTATTTATGATGGTGCTACAATATGATTTAGTATAAGTCAATCGGCAGTGAAATGATAAGATTCAGTTGTCAAGAAGGGTAATAGATATAGCAGCTACTTAGTCAATATTTCTTGAGGTGTTAAATTACTTATGAGAGAGTCGATTGCACATGTGTTCACTTGTATGTTCTTTCTTTCGGTGAATCATGGTAACAAGTTAGAAACAGGGCCATAGACAGGATCACTGGTATTGAAAAAAACGTATGTTCCTGCGAAATTCTAGGTTTATCGATACTATTTTCAGAGTTACACCTACTCTGATTTTTCTATACTACTACTAATATTATTACAACAACTACTACTAATAATAATAAAACTATCATAATGGTCACTGTTCAAATCAGTAGTCTTCTTCTTCTTCTTCTTCTTCTTCTTCTTCTTCTTCTTCTTCTTCTCCTCCTCCTCCTCCTCCTGTCTCCCCGTGTCATTTGTAATTCTCAGTAAGGTTCGTTTCGTTTTGTCCTCCCTCCTGATCCCTTTTCTGCCAACCTGCCAATTCGCTGGTTTATCCTGTGGGAGTGAAATTCTGCAAATCTTAATTCCTCATTATGCGTCGCAAAAAATGTCTACTCATTTTAGTCTGCTTCTAAGTACAAGCGCCTTTTGTGTTTCCATCTTACTTAAACTTCCATGTTTAGTCCATGAAAATCACAGCATCCTTTTATAGAACCGCATCATTTTTGTCACAAGTCTCTTATTCATCTGATGGCAAAACAGGGACCAGAAAAGATTGTGAAAAGAAAAACTTTACTAAGAGTTAAAAAGGATAGGAAATAGTGAAGAGTTATGATTTCCCACGTCCTGAAGAAACATAGATTAATCCAAAATGTAACTGGAGGTGTTCAATGCTAGATATAAACAAATGGTTCCCAAACGTTTTTCTCTGAGCCGCATTTTTGGAATAAAAATTTGCACGTGCCTCACCAAAATTTTGTGATAAAAAGTACATTTAAAAATAAAAGAAAACAGAGAGAGGATTAAAGGGAGATAACCGCAGATTCGAAGAGAGAACATTATCATTGATAACTCTCTCCTCCAATTTGCACATTACTACATGTTTGATATAATGCAAAAAAGATCAATAAAACTATTTATACTGGGACCCATGCATGCAATTACATGTAATCCATAATAATATTTAAAATTTTGAAAACATTTATTTTTGGTATATGTATTTTTAAAAACTGTTTCTAACATTTTGATTGTCTGTCAATCATTCCGCCTCACCTGCTATCCTCTTCGCCCACACCTATGAGGCGCAAGGCACCGTTTCGGACCGACTGATATAGACATTATATTAGTTCGGTTTCCTTTGACTTTTGAGAGCCAAGAAAGTAGGAAATCTATTTAGCATTTAATTCTCAGCAAAGATGAAAAGGTTCAGAAATATAAGCTTCGCCTTATAAAAGTAAGAACTGACTGGTGACTTCTTCACAGCTACTCGATCATCTCTACCAAGGTGGACACCATTATGTAGTTAATCATACCGAACGTTCATTGCTGGGAGCAAAGATAACTTTGACAGGAAAACAAAACTTTACAAAGATTAGCAGCTGCAAAATCCCAAACTTTTAATCGAAGCAGTCCATGGCAGCTGATGGACCGCGTTGTTTTTCTTTTTTTTTCTTGCACGTGAATTTTATTTCACTTTATTTTCTTTCTTATAGTTTATTCGACGCTACCAATTCAGTAGCTTCTGTTTATAGGAAAAAGAAAGTCCACAATACTTGTTTGTTTATTAACAAATAGTGCTAAACTACAATCGATCGATTACTATGCTCAGCTTCCTTGGTCCAGGTAAACGATTGATTTATCTAATTACTCAAATTGATATAAGTAGTTGCATCTAGGTGTCTGGTATGTATTTGAAAATACACAAGCACATACGTTTACCTATCTAAGCTTGTTCTGATCCATCAGATCGAGTCACTCTTATCTCTCAAATCAGCTCACCTCGTTATTCCACCAATGACGATATTGCTGCATCCACGGAGTTGAATCACCCACATTTCTTCAGTATTCCATTTGTAAGGAGGAAGTTATACAGCTTATTTTCTCGACAAGTGCTACTCTGCAGAACAAATTTCGATGTGAATGTTTCGCCTAACATTACAAAGATGCCATCTTCGAATCAAGGGTCAAATATTATTTATCCTCCTTATCCTCATAGAATTCCTTTCCTCCTACCGCCACTTCCATTCACATCGCACAATTCATTCAGTAACCCTCTACCATTGACTAATTTCCGACACATTACGGGATTAAATTATGATTTAGATGCTGAAATGACTTATAGCCTAAAATCAAATTTTCTTTTAACAGATAATAAAGGAATTAATTTTCGAGGGAAATCTTATCATTTATTGAATGAACTTCAGTATAAAAAAATCTATCCATTATGTATTCCACTATTTACAACTTATTTGTTCTGTTCACAAGACTTTCTCACCTCTTTCACACAGTATGTCTATCTAAATATGACAATTCACGTCTTAAGTTAATTGCTATCTATCTCAGTCCGTTCATATCGTGGTATCCAGTTCATACCTATGTATCTTGGTGTATAAAACTCCACAGAAACTGGTATAAATGAATTGTAATACAATTATAGGAGAGCATATTTGTTTTGAAAATATAGTCTTAAGGTGTGCTATATTTATAGGATAAAGTGCTCAATATCAGAGATAGAGCGTGTGTAAATATAAAAGTGAACATAGAAGTCAACACTCAGGCCTGACGACTACATATAGCATGAAACAGACTGTCGCCTCTAAGTGTTGACTTCTATGTTCACTTTATATATATATATATATATATATATATATATATATATATATATATATATATATGCACATTTCATTGAAAACGACAGACAAGGTGTTTTTATTTAGTTTTTTTATACAATTTCTCATGCGATCTAATCATTTTTTTTTTTGTTTTCGGATGATAAATTATATAAAAACTGTCCGAATTTTCTTTTTATCCGAGCGCTTTCGGCTATACATTTAGCCATTTTCAAGGATTATATTTTAACTGTTAAAATTAGAAATAGTTTCTTGTATGTATGTTTTATAAAATGTTTTCATTTTTTTTGTTTCAAATCACGGTCAATATATTATGTCCATGTTCAAAGTTAATATTATGAAAGCAGCAATTTTTAATTAATGCATGTTTCATTAAATTATATAAACAAATTTTGTCTATTTATTTTAAGTAAGTTCCTTTCATATTGTC